GTCAAAGTTACTTTCAAATTCTGGACTTAGCCTTGTATAAATTTTGGAATAGCACTTTTCTAGAGGGAGTGCTGCCTAAATTTCTACAAAATTAAGGAGTTAGTTGAATTCTGTCTAAGTTGAACTCGAACTGTTTTTTGAGTTCATATCTGACTTAGTATAAATCTGGAAAGTCTCCCTTTCTAAAGGGAGTGCTGCCCAAATTTTTACTATTTCAGGGAGTTGGACATAATTTGACTTTTCGGAGTTATAAATTATTTCTGCTTTTATATCTGGACTTATATAAATTATGGAAAGACATTTTTCCTACGGGAAGCGCTGCTGAAATTTTCTTAGTTCAAAAGAGATCGATTATGTTTTGACAGGTGGAGGTTTTGATAAGTCCACTCTGACTAAGGGAAAATTTGGTCATATTGCTTAGAGATAGGCTTAGACATAGTTAACTAGGATGATTTGGGTAAGGTCACGATATAGAGATTGTCCTCCATGAACTTATAGGTTCAGCCTGGGGCATTGACCTGTCATGTGTTACAGACTCTTTTGATCGTTTGATTCAAGATCCGGACTAAATTCAGCTTGATCCCTTGAGGATCATCATCTGTTATCACTGATAACAAGTCGGTTGCCGATTCGTCGGTCTACGACTCAATTTCAACTCACCCTCCACACTCAACCTAAAAAGCTATAGCCCTGGTGATTTCGTTGTTTCATTAAGGTTTCACCCGAACTTTTATTGAATGGCCATTTAACAAAGGTACTGAGTATTTAATTAAGGTTGGTTGGACGTGAGGTTGGGGCTTGCATGGCTAAAGTGAGGGGTATGAGTGTCGAAGATGATTGGGGTTGACTCCGTGTAGTGTGTGGGTTGTTGATTGACTCGTTGATGTGATTGCAGGTATAAGTTGTGAATCAGATTCTGGATTTGGTTGTCTGCGATCACATATATATGTATGGTTGTGAGGGACCCCAATTGGACTGTGAGAAGTGATCGTCACATACTTTCCTCTTTATATATGTATATATGGGTGTACCTGGGATGAATGTCTGCATGGGCTAAAGGGCCCCGTACTAAAAGCCTACTCAGAGGTCAAGACTGAGAGGCATATGGAAGGCCCCTCCTTTTATTTGTTTTGCTTCTTGTTTTTTTTTTAATTCTTTGTCGGACGTTGGTCCTGGGCCCGGATTCGAGGTCCTTGTCCAGGACCTCCCAAACCCTAGGCCCTGCAGGGGAGGGACTCCCCCTCACGCAGAGCCCATTTGCATTCCCCGTCGGGGCACCCCACCCTGAAGGCGAAGTCGCGAGGGCTGAACGACATGTTCTTTAACCGTTCAATATCGTGTGGGGTAACCCCTCACGATATATTCCTTCAACCATTCAATATCGCGAGGCCGGAGCCGCGATTACCAGGTATGGTTGACATCGTTTGGTTGGTATGAGACTGACCCACAGTTGCGCGACTTTATATTAGAATCCCGCGCGCGACGTTTCGCCGCCCTAGTGTTTAAAAGTTATGGGATCAAAAGAGACCCGCACATACGCGCGAACGCTTGGGATTACTACAGGCCGCTGACACCACCCGAAAAGGGAAGGGTACCCCAAGGTTTTGTTTTCTTTTGGGATAAAGGGGGTCTTCGGTCTATTTGTGTTTTTTAAGATTTATAGTTGGACGTTGTAGTCCGTGGCAGCCGTCAAAGTCAAACCCCTTGACCTCTGTCCAAGCCTCGAGTAGGACTTATCCCAGGGCGGCAAGAGACGACTGCCACCACAGGTGTGGACCTGTGTACCACCCGCTCTGCATAAGGGTGCAGAAGAGGGTGTGTGGTCTTCAACCGCGCATGGCGGTTGTCCGGCGTCGAGATATTAACCCTCAAAGCGCGTGTCAGCCGACACTTGAGTGTCGAATGCGACCCTCGAGATTAACGAGGACCGCGCGAGTATGGGTACTACATAGTACGTCATCATTGCGACTGCTTAAGTACGATTGCATTGCGAGTCGATAAAAGTTAGCCCTGCGTCCGCGCGGTTTTATACAAAGTCTCCCTGCACGACGCCTATTCGATTTTCGCATCGGAGAGTTATGGGACGGCTATCGAGGGGCTAGGAGCGTTGTCGCGTTGTTTGTGTTGTGTCGTGACTGTATGTGTGGGTGCGTGTTTTATTGTTGTGTTCGTAAAGTGGTGGAACGTTGTCGCGTTGTTTGTGTCGCGTTGTTCGTGTTATGTTGTTTCGCGCGTATGTGTGTGTGCGTTTGTCCTTGTGTTCGTAGAGTGGTGTGCGTGTGGTGTGTGGGATGCGTCCTAGTCGAACGACGTTGAACCGCGCTTGGGACTTCAGCCCCCCGAGATGCCCGCTCGCATGCGGGTCTGATAGGCGTACTACCGCGCGTACCCCTTATGCTACAGCGAACGAGAAACGCCCTCGGCTGGTCCACCTCTGCGATTGCAACTGATTAGCTTTCGTACTGTGGACTGGTAGCTCGGCGGGGATACGCCCACCGGAGGGAGGTGACAACTTCCGTAAGGTGTAGGTAAGTCGTGCCTCGCGTAGGCCCTATCCTGTCGGCCTGTGATTCCATGCGTTGAGGAGATAGCAAAAGGAAGGGGTATCCAAAGAGAGCCCCAAAAGAATCCGAAGAGTTAGAACAACAAAAACTCGGGGCTCTGGAAGATCGTTCGGGTACGGAAGCTGGTACGTCACAAGTATCCACTGGTCCGATTCCTCAGCGGAGACATCCTTGATTACCCACTGTGACAGCATAGCTGGATTTTGCTTTTGAGGGCCTAGCATCCCCAAGCCACCTTTCTTCGTGGGGCAAATAATTCTTCCTTGGACACTTTCGAAATGACCCATTTTCTGCAAAGGGTTTCCACACGAACCTCGTGAAGACCCTTCTAACCACCCTCAACAATTGCTTCACCAGTACTTGATCCAGCTATTGATGCCGAGCCGGGATACCCCCTGCGCGCCAAGTTTTGCCGAGCCGCCGGTGCACCGTTTCGTTTTCATTTTGGCTGGCGCTTCCAGCCATTGAGGTTCGGTGCGCCGAAGCCCGCAACTACCGGCCCGTTAATGGGAATCGCCCACGTCCAATAACTGGGCCAAGTACTGGTGGTTTAATATTCTGACCCTCCCTACGTACTGTAGCAGTGATGACAAGGCGAAAATTCAGCATAAGTGCCCGACCGAAGAGAGACAAGCGAGGGGCCCTGCCCCACCTCAGGAGCCTTCGCACCACTTTCTGTTGGAGTGTATCCGTTTGCAGACTTTCACATCTGTCCAGAGCTACCTGAACACCCGGATATCGTTCTGATGAACCCACGGCCACCCATTTCATGCATAGATCTACAGCTTGTTCATGTTGGGGCGGCAGGAAGAAAATGGATCTATTCGCCTCAGACATGTACTACTGCTCTCTGCTAAACAGGCCTTTGCTAAACAGGCCTTCAACATAGTCGAGGAGGAGTCAGTATTGGCTTAACTAGCCACGAGGTCATCAGCCAAAACTCTCTGCTAAACAGGCCTTCAACACAGTCGAGGAGGAGTCAGTAGGTGATCAGCCAAAATTCCTTCACTAGCCACGAGGTGATCAGCCAAAATTCCTTCATTTGGACCTGCAGTCCATTAATGTGAGGCTGAGACCTCACTTTGTTCAAAGGCACTTAGAGCTGCAGGACGAAAACCGGGGGTGGCAATGGGCAACCCTGCCTCAAGGAACGAGATGAAGCACTGGCAGTTCTTGCGAGCAGCCTATTGCGCTCTCTTTTCCACCTCCCATTTATGAAGCACCGAAGGTCGGCCACAGCATATAAGCTCCTAGCTACCTACTAGGGGCGGTCAGGCAAAATTTGGAGCCCCAAAAAATTTGCTCGGGCGTACCTACTAGGGGCAGGCAACCAGTCTGTCAGCCCGTTGCTTCGACCCTGGGTCAGTATCATACGCAGGGCTACCATCAGGTTTGCCCTATCAGACCAAAAAGAAGACCCCCTGACGGTTCTGTAGCCTTGGGGTGAGCTGGTGGCTGTTGTGGCTGTTCAAAACCAAAAGCGCTCTTTTGGTCTTTCACCCAATCTCATTGGCGCTTCATGCAAGTCGAGCGCTGGATCCCACCATCGGTTTCGCCGGCCGATCATGATAGGCCTTGCTTCCTGAATCGGGTACCGTACTTACCAAGGGTTGGGGTTTCACCAGGTTTACTTACCGAGGGTTGGGGTTTCACCAGGTATACTTACCGAGGGTTGGGGTTTCACCAGGTTCGTGCGCGAGACGATCGGCGACGGAAGGAAGTCGTGAGCGTCACGCTGCGCAGGTGGCTTGCGGAAGGGACGCCCAGGCAACCGCTGGCGGATGTGGGATCTGCTGAGGGCATACTGCGGCGGGGTCCCACCACCAAGAGATGCAGAAAAGCAGATCAGTCACGGTTTTCTGCATCTGTCCTCATACACGTCCAGATTCGGGCATTTGAAGCCAATCCTTTTTGGTAGTTGTACCTCGCCTCCGGAGGGCGGGACAGCAATTCGGTGTTTTCGGTGTTCGACCTGAGAACACCGCCAGGTGGGAAGCGTAAAGGCTGGCCGCGTTGAACGGCATCTCGGCGGCGCCTCGCTCCTCTCAGCCAATCGCAATCGCCCGCCCGTTTCGGTCTTTCTGACGTCCGAGGCGGGGGACGGACGGGAGCGCAAAGCGGCCGCGCGAGCCAATTTTTTTTTTTTTTTTTTTTTTTTTTTGGGAAGGGCGAGCCATTGGACGTGTTTGATTTGTTTTTTTCCCCAAAAAAATAAATAAAATAAAATTGTTTGATTTTTTGTTCTTTCGTTTTGTCTTTGTGCCCGCGCGGTGCCTCGGCGTCACGGGGGCGCGGGCGGCGGCCTTCGGCGTGACCGACAACACTGCGGGCAGATCGGCTTATTACGTGTACTTATTACACGTATGATTGCGTTTGTCATTGATGAGAGCGGGATGCCGTTTCTGTGACGTGATGGGATATTGTATGACAGAGCAGAAGTAAGTGCAAAAGTACGTCGTCCGCCCTTGTTGCTTTTCCTGTGACGTCGCTGCCACCGTGGAACACGAACAGACGCCATGGATTTCACAGCGCCCCCGGAGGGGTCTCTTTCGACGAAGCGTAAATTCGCGCCTACTGGAGGGAGGAAGAAAGGAGGGGGAGGAGGAGGAGAAGTTGGCGTGACAGTGAGCAACGTGAAGAAGGAAGAGAAGCCGGTAGCTAAGCTGCAGCAAGAAGATGGGAAGGAGAAGGAGGAAGATCTGAAGAAGTCGGACACTATGGACACGTCGACGAACGGCGCTGTGGTGGTTGAGGTGAAGAAGGAGGGCGGGGTAGACGCGATGGCTGTGGATGTGAAGCCCGACGTGGACGTGAAGCCCGATGTTGAGGGCCTGCATCGAAAGCTGTTGGTGAAAGAAGAGATCGTCGAAGATGTCAAGCCGGCACGTCAGGACGATGGTGATGGGAAGAAGAAACCTGCCATAGCTCCCATTGGAAATGACGACGACATTGCGAATCTCAAGGCGAAAGCCATGGTCGCCGCAGCTCACGAAGCAGCAAATATGCCCGACACTGAGTTTGAAAAACGGTGCGTTTGGAAATCGGGAGAGAGAGAGAGAGAGAGAGAGAGAGAGAGA